ATACAGCCGAGTAGGCTGAGTAGCTAAGAAAGGCAAGGCAAGAGTGGGAAAGAAACCTTGGATAGAAAATTAGTCAGAAATTCTATCATCTTCGGGGGCGACCGCGTGAAGTATCGACCGTTCATGACGAGATTCGACAGCTATGTGAACCGAATCTACGACATCACCCCGCTCGAGTGCTTGATAGTCCTGCAGAAATACCTGCGCGGCGAACCCCTGCAACTCGTCAGCGCACTGGAGCTCGTGGACAGCAACTACGCCGTCGCGCTTCAGGTACTTAGGTCATACTTAGCAGACCAAGAGAGAAACAGCCAATCTATCAACTGGACGTGAAAACTGCGTTTCTCTACGGAGATCTCGAAGAGCGTGATAGCGGCCTCACGCTGTTCCATCATTCCATAGGGGAGTTCCTCCACCCACCTCGGTATTTTTTGAGTACGTTGAGCGTCACCTTCGAGTACGAAATTCGTGCTGATAACGAATGTTGGGGATTTGATCAGGACCTCACAACATTGGCCGTCTAGTTTTGTCTCAGTCGGCGGTGAACGCAGTTTGGTCCAGATGATTCCTGATGAGCGGCACTTGTCGGAGGATACCGGAGGCAGGTAGTGAGGAACTCAACCCATGAATGAGGACGCGGGGTATCGTGCGGTGACAGAAGAATCTGTGTTTGATGTTTATTTGAATGCTGCTTATATACCGCCTGGACTCCGTGGGCCAGTACAGTGAAAAAAGAGGAGTTCTCCAGAAAAAGCTAATCAGCCTTTTTCTTTGACAATCGATCAGAGTTTTTGGCTCATATACTGAAGTGTCATAAACACTGACTTCTGAAAACTTTTAAGACAGTAATGGAAACGCCTTTGTTCACAGAAGAAGGCGATTTCCTAACCATATTTGATCTCCCGATCAACCTGGATTGCCTAATCCTAACCCCGCTGAGTAGCCTAACCGAATGCCTAATTCCTATGGAAACGCCTGGTATTACGTACCTAGTTGAGGACACTATCTAGCCGAGCTGAACACTCTGTTCATTCCCTGGTTCGCAGGGTTATCCAAAAAAAAATAGATATATATATAAACACGGTGAGATTAGCCATGGCTCGATGCCTAATCCTCCCGGGGAAGGTATACCCCTCTGGGCCGAGGTGGGATTCCTTCCTCCCCTTCGTCTCCAGGTTCCGTTCCGAGAACCGGTCGCAGGTCCTCTACAGTGGGGTCCCGGTTAACGAACGTGCTCGGTTCCGTGAAAGGGTTCGTTAAGCGGGAAGTTCGTTAAGCGGGGCCATATTTAACATTGGTTCCGATGGGAAACCAGATATTCCGCTCCTAGCTGTTTCAGGAGACGAGCGCAAAAAGTTGACAAACGATTTTCATATAAAGACTCGTGATAGGAACACAAGGGGGGAACCGATAGTTCTCCGAAAACATTGATGTTTACTTAAATTGGTCGTTAATTAATGGAAGGAAGGAAAAATCGATCGAGGGTCGCTTGCCGTTCTCTCGATTTCAGGATGCGCTCAAGACGAGTGATCGCATTCTGCTCGAATATTTCGGCGCTGCTTATTACTTCCGAGGGGATTCTCGGATTCGTCATCAAAACGCTTTCGATCTCCTTCCATTTGGAAACGATTTCTTTGATGCTTGCGGAAGACATCGGTCCTGACGGATCCTCCTCCTCTTCTCCGCCGCTGGATGAGTCACTTCGGTCTTGATTGAACATAGCCTGGAGCTCCTCAACAGTGAAGTCTTCGTCGTAATCGCGGATGAATTCTTCTACCTCACGTTCATCGAGCTGGAGTCCAAGACTTCCCGACACTGATATGATCTCTCCCAAGATCGTGGCATTCTCAGTTTCCTCGACGTCTTCAGCGCGATTTCCGCCGAAAGTAGGACAGATGTTCCGCCACGCCGCGAGCAGACATCGGTTTGAGACCTCTTGCCAAAATCGATCAATGGTCTTTATGGCATGACTGATGTCAAAGCTCTCACGCCAAAAAAGCTACAGATCCATCAGAGGATTCTCTTCGCAGGCCTCGAAATAAAGCCTCATCAAACTCCTTGTGTAAAGCTTCTTGAAAGTCGCGATCACGTTCTGGTCCATGGGTTGCAGCTTGGACGTCGTGTTCGGTGGCAGATAGCAGACCTTGATGAACTCGTATTCAGAGCGGAGCTCCTCTTCGAGATCTTTCGAGTGTCCCGGGGCGTTCTTTTCCGTTCTTTTCCGGAACCGGCGAAACCAACCTCGGCTCGCTTTGAAACCGAGCTCGGCGTCGGCATCTCCGCTCATAGAGCTCACAGTCAATCCTCCGAAAATCAGCCTCGCCTTCTCACAAATCATGTCTCTCGACAGGACATCTCCTCGCATCTGCCTTTCCGTGATCCACAATAGCAACAGATTCTCGACCTCGTCCAGCCTCGGAGATCGCTGCTTCTCAGAGCAAATCTGCACCACACCTTTTCCTGCGTGTACACCAGCTACTTTTTCACGATTCGCGATGATGGTGGCGATCGTTGATTTGTTGACTCTGTATTCTGACGCTAAATCCGAAATCTTCCGACGACCTTCTCTCTTTGCAATGATTTCTTTCTTGGTTTCTATCGAGAGTTTTCTCCGCGTTTTCGCGCACCGTTTCTCCGTGCCGCCCATGGTCGGCGACGGGGAGCAGCTCAACGTCGGAATGTTGCTAGAGTCACTTGACAGGATGAGGGTCCCCGGTCCTGACACGAACTTAATCGAAGAACTTGTTTACTCGAAGATCACGATGACCAGATGAGATCCACAGAACAAGTCATGGCGAAAGCGCGATCTGGTCTTCCCAATTCTGCTCCTCGAACTCTACAGGCCACTCGGCCGCCTCCTCCTCTGGCACATCTTGATTTCCCACGACCCGCTCCTCAACTCTTCCTGGCTGCTTCGAAGCCGCCTGCACATGGATCCGCACGGTCACGTTCGCCCTACCAGCCCGAAGAATGGCCTGCAGCACTTCGAGCGCCTGCTCCGATTGACGACTTTCCACCCTCTGCGGTCCTCGATACAAAGCACATCTTCTCACATACATAGTGCCCCACTCTTTGGCACGCGGTGCAAATGGCGTCTCTCGCTCTGCAATGGGGCGATCCCGTTGCGTGACGATCGTCCCCGCATCCATCACAGACCTGGTGTTGCATGTTGCCTCAAGAATTCTTCCGTGCCTGCTGAGTTGTACTTTTCCTGACCTCTTGCTTGCTTGATTGACGACGACGGAATGATCGTTTAGTCTCTCGCAGACCCTTAGCTTCGTTCCCCACTCGAGCTGTGATTCGTCGAGGCCAGCGCCGTTTTTCATCAAAATATGCATTCGACATTTCTTCCGGTCAACCTCTATCCGACGTGCACATTCCGTACATCTCCGTTCCGTCTCCGACACATGCCTGCCACATTCTCAGCATACATTTGACCCAATTCGCTCGGTCTCGCTACCTAAATGTTGTCCTCAACATTACCACTTAGAATATTTTCCCTGAAAGCGTTTCCTTCTAGCTGGCTGTTGCCTAGCCTGATCTGAGTGATCCTCTTCTCTACCTGGAGATTCCATAATTGCCGTGTTCAAATCTGTAGCTCTTCTCCTAACTGGCCTTGATTTTTCCGGATACCTATCTGTATCTACGTTGATCTGAATTTCCGGAGATGATCGTGATGCTGATTCCGAAGACTTGTCTATCACTTGGTCTTCTAAACCCTCCGGTTCTCTTGACTCCTCCTTCATTCGCGTTGACTCCCGAATTCCCTCTGTATCTGGCGCTGTTGCGAAGCTCGCCATCAAGGGTGTCTCCGCCGCTTCTCCGATGCCTTCAGTATTTCTGATGCCTGACTGATCCTGCCTTGGTTCTTCTTCGTTCCCATAGTCATCGTCGAAGGTTTCGTCGAATGGTATGGCATCGTCCTTTTCATCCGTATTCACCTTGTAATAACGGAGCTGCGAACAATGGGCTGTACAGGTGTACTTTCTGTCGCCCAACTGAACAAGCCTATAAGTATCATTTGGCAGTACTTCGGTAATGACCATTGGTCCCCTGAATTTTGGCTGAAGTTTGGTTGGTTCCCCCGTATGCACTGGCAGCCTACTGACTACAACTATATCTCCTTCGGCTAGCCTAACGTAATGAGGTCGTCGTTTCCTATCGTAGTAATAAGCATAGCGATCCTGAGCTTCCTCAATTTGCCCGATGACTGCTTCCTGAACGCCCTCGCCGGGGTCTAAACCTTTTCCTGAACTTCCTCTACTGCCTGCGAATGATTATTCCGTCTCAGAAGATACCCGTGCGAAAATTCGAACGGTGATTTGCCTGTTGTCTTAGACGCGTCTGAATTCAGCATCATTTGAGCCGTTGGAACCTGTTTCGCCCAATCATGTCCGTCGGATCTCTCGCATAGAGACCTCTATAATCTGGCTACCTCCCTATTCAAACGCTCTACCTCACCCTGACTTTGGGGGTCTTGTTCGACCCCATTCGCAATGAGGAACTCCTCGAACTATTTCGCCGTATACGCAGTACCTCGACTAGAGACTAATCCAGTCGGCCAACCATACGTCATTAATAGAGCTGAGAAGTTCAGGCATTTTGCCATAAATGCCTATTTTTTTGCCTTTTTCGGCTATTCTGTGCAGAATCTGCTTATTTCGGCTCAGAGGCGTCGGAAATGCCTTTTTTGCGGTTTTCGGGGCCCTATCAAAGTCGGAAATCGATATATTTCGTTTCTGGGAGGCGAACCTAGCAGCTTCGATTCCTCGAATGCTGCGGCTGGCTGAGATGTGTATGTCGTGGGTCGTTCGGAATACTTGACGTGCACGCGCGGTAAGCAGCCGCGCCGATGATCGCTGATTCATTTCGAACACAGACAATGAGTCGTGTTCTAGATTAATTGTGTAATCTCCAGACTTCACGCAAGCTAAGCCGTCCCGTGAAGAATCTCGTGGTATCGTGTATGTCGCCGATTGAGAGATTCGAAACGCAAGAGAATGCCTAAGTCGTCGTTGAGATCGAAGAGTAGATTGGACGTCCTCGTGAAGTTGTTCGGGGATGAGACATTCTCAACGGATGGCACTGTTTTACTTTGTAAAGTATGCGAAAAAGCAGTGAATGGTGAGAAGAAATATTTTGTTCAACAACATTTGAAGACGACTTCCCACAGGAATCGAGCAAATCGTCGCGCGGAAGGTGAATCTTCACAAGTTTCGTTGTTGAGCAGCTTTGTAGCTATTTCGAACAAGGAAAGTGAGTTCAACCTGGAGCTGTGCAAAATGCTGCTCGAGGCAAACATACCGTTGTATAAGGTAGAACATGCTTCATTCCGGACCTTTTTCGAGAAATACACCATGAAAGTTCTCCCGCATCAAAGACGCTCCGGAAGACATATTTGAAAAAAGTCTATGGAGCCACCATCAACAGAATCCGCGACTCCATAGGCGATTCTAGAATTTGGGTGTCTATGGACGAAACTACGGATCTTAAAGGACAGTTCGTCGTGAATACGATAGTTGGCCGGATGGACGCGTCAGAGCCTACGAAACCATATCTCTTGAGTTCGGAAGTAGTCGACCGCACGAATCATGCCACAATCGCGCAAGCCATCTGCAACGCCATGAGTCTCCTTTGGCCAAACGGTGTGGTGCATGATCGCGTTATCTTGTTTGTAACGGACGGCGCGAAATACATGAAAAAAGCTGCGGGTGGACTCCAGATCATGTTTCCGAAGATGGTCTACATCACTTGCGTCGTACACGGTGTCCATAGAGTTTGTGAAGAGATGAGGAAGCTCTTTCCGGAGGTCGACTCGTTCGTGGCCAACGCGAAGAAGGTTTTCCTCAAAGCTCCTTCACGTATTCAGCGTTTCAAGGAGATGGCCCCTGACCTCGCACTCCCCCCACAGCCTGTCGTCACTCGATGGGGAACATGGCTAGATGCCACTTGTTACTACGCCGATCACTACGAAAGGATCGAAGCAGTCCTGCAGACTTTCGGGGACGACGAGGCAGTATCGATATCGAAGTGCAGCGATCTGCTGTCAAGCCCGCGCTTGAAACAGCAGTTGATCTTTTTATCCTCCAACTACAGAACCATACAGGAGGCGATCAGAAAACTCGAATGCACACAACAGAGCATGGAAACAACATTCGGTATTCTCGACGGGATTAAAGCTTGTATTCAGGCTGCAGCCGGACCAAAAGCGGTCCAGATAAAGGAAAAACTCGACATGGTGATTCGCAAAAATGAAGGTCATCGCATTCTCCAAGTTTCGTATCTTCTCCGAGGTGAAGGAGACTTGGCAAGTCTGAATAACCTGACCGTCGCCGATTTGACATCGTTCCGGTACGCTCCCTTAACGAGCGTCGATGTGGAGCGCAGCTTCTCGAGATAGAAGGGGCTCTTACCAGACCGCAGGTGCTCCTTGACGACCGAGAACGCGACCTATCACATTGTAGCTCTCTGTAATTCATTTCAGTAGTCTAAAATAAACGCCCCTCGTCAGTGCTATCATCGATGCCTTTTCTGCCTTTTTTGCCTTTCTTCAGTGCCTATCGTGGCCGTTTTCGGTGCCTTTTCGCCTGCCTTTTTCTCGAGTTTAAAGTGCCATAAGTTCTCAGCTCTAGTCATTAATCCCCCCTCTAGAAAGGGTACAGCTGGGTAAGGGGGCGTTTTCGGCCACGACTCGGTTCAATGAATGAAATTGAACCGAGAAGACTGATTGATGCGATGTTAGCGCAGCGATGGCTTCTCCTTACGGGGATTGATTGGTAGGGCATGCCTCTAGCATGATAGCCCCCAAATCGAGGGTTAAAAAGGAAAACGCTCGGAAACGACGCAATACCAAAAGAGGAGAACACCAAACCGGTGCAATCGCATTCGCAGGAACGCGAGGGTCTTAAAAAAACTTGTCCCAAGCGATTCCAGCTTGGTAATCACATTTTTTTTCCGGAAAAAACACGAAAAAATGATTTTTCCAGACGAGAATCGATCTGTATCTCATGGAGAAAGAATCTCAGGACGGTGATTGGGACATGATTCTGTAGCTCTTGTTCCCAGCATTCGAACGCCACCAAGCGCGAGTCTCTAGCTTATCCCGTTCTCGCGCAATGACCGTTCAAAGATTTCAGGTGCTTCCATGGGTCCGAACACACTTTGATTTTTCTTTCGCATACCACTCGGACTTGAAAAGCGATTGAGATGATCTGAGTGCGTCAATATGCTCCTAAAGTGTGGGACGTTACGCCACGCAATCCATTTCGAAAATCGGAGTCGTGGCCGAAAACGCCCCCTTCCCCAGCTGTACCCTTTTATAACGCCTGCTGCTGTAGTTGCCGGTAGTGCCTGAAGTAGGATAAACGTAAACCCATCAACCATCAATTTTAGATGTTCGTTTCCTCCCGATTTCGGCAAAGAGCCTACGTGGTCTATGAAGACTTTCTCGAAAAGAAGGGTCTCCGCTCCGGTCGAATCTTGTTGGAGATGTATTCGATTCACATCTTCAAGAGGTGCGCCACATACTCGGGCATTCTCGGGAACCAATATACGCGCCTGATTAATTTCATGGTTCTATCCATCCCGAAGTGCCCAGCTTCATGGTGTGCCCTGGCCATGACTGAGATATATTTCCGCATCGCGTTCGGAACCACGAATAATCGCCCACCGTCGATAACCTTGAACAGCACTCCCTTGAGCATCATGAAATCCTGCACCAGATTCAATTCGCGCCTCGATCTCTCTACTCTAGCCCTCTCCGAAATTCTTATCCTCTCCCGGATACTCGAGTCGCTCGACTGTAACATCCGATATTTATTGCCTGAATCCGATTCCTGATGCACGATTCCCCTAATCGAATCCGTCGGATAGATATCTTCTTCCGTCTCCCCACTATCTTCTGCCGGATCTCGACTGAGTGCATCTACGTGGCTCATAGCCGTGCCTACTCTATGCCTGACCGTGAAATTGAACTCCGAAATTCGATTGAGCCAACGGCCCAATTGTGGCGTATTCGCTTTTGATCTATAGTCCGACACCAATACGAGTTCTTGTCCATACAAGTAACGTCTCAGTCGCTAAAGCCCCCACACGACCGCTAGCGGCTCAAGTTTCGTTGAATGATAGTTTTGTTCGGCCGCCGACAATTTTCGACTGATCGCATAGGTCATTTTACACGCGCCTTTTGTGTCCTGCAAGAGTATCGCTCCGAGTCTCACCGTACTTGCGTCGGTGTGCAGTTCCGTCGCTCTGCCTGAGACAAACCCGACCAAGACTGGGCCTGCTATCAATGTTGCCCTTAGCTTATTGAACGCCTTCTCGCACTGTTCGTTCCACTCGAATTTTCTCCCCTTCTTCAACAGAGTCGTCAATGGACTCGAGATAGTCGCATAACCGCGGAAAAATCTCCTGAAGAAGGATGTCAATCCTAAGAATCTCCTCGCTTCATGGACATCATTTGGTGTCGAGAATTTCTCTACCGCCCCTAATTTCCTAGTCCCTGGCTATACTCCCTCCTTGGAAATTTTGAACCCCGAAACCTGTACTGACTTCATGAATAACTTGCATTTCTGGAGCCTGACTGTGAGACCGGCTTGTTTCAATGCCCCTAAGATTCCCTCGATTTGCCCGAGAGGATCATTCATCTTATCTGATGCTGTGATCATATCGTCCAGGAAAGGAAACGCTTGCCTTCCGCCTACCATTTCTTTAACCCTTATAATTAGTTCCTGGAATTTCACCGGTGCATTACATAGCCCCATCATCATCACTCGACGTTCGTTATGTCCCTCGGATGTGATGAAAGCTGCCCTTTCCGCTGCTCTCTTCACCATGGGAATTTGAAGGTAGCCCCAAGCCAAATCGAAGGTTGGGTATAAATTTCTCCCTCCGTCCTCGTCAAGGATATCGTCGATGAATGGCAATGGATAGTTTTGCTTCACTGTCTGCGCGTTCGGCCTGCGATAATTGATGACCATTCGCCATCCACCCTACGCCTTCTTGACTAAGAGTACTGGACAAGCATACGCTGAGTTGGACCTGCTGATCATGCCTGCCTCCTGCATCAGCTGAATTATCTCCCGTAACGCTTGCCTCTCTACTACCGACAGCCTATACGGTTTCGCTCTCACGAACTGGCTATCCTTAATCTCCTCTTTATCAAATTCGGTCAATTCTGTTCTCCCCAACTCTCCCGTCGACGTCGTTCATCTCGACGCTTGTTCACCAAGGCGAGGAGTCATGCTCGGTGCGCCTGCGGAACCTCCTCTCCTATAGCGAAGTCAACATCGGTGATTGGCGCAATCTCCGCGGTCTGCTCTTCTCCAGACGCTTGACAGACGCTCGCCTCTGTCCGCTCGAACCTGTAGATCGCCTCCTCATCCATCGGCGTTCCGCGCGCTTCAACTGTCATGTCGGGGGTACTATCTTCTTGGGATACGGCGAATGAAGACCTCGGTATTAACGAACCAGCGATAGCCACCTCTAGTTTATTGAGCACACACACAGACCGCCACAGCCGACCTATAGTCGCTGTGCGACCGACCTCTCTGACTACTCGCCATTTCTGTTACATCCTACACCTCTAACATCCGTCCGTCTAACACCGTCCGACGTCACACGTCCGTCTAACACCTCGAACGTCCATCTAACACCTCTACGTCAAACGTCCGTCTACATCCCTATGTGACCACGACATTCGGTCACGCTACCTACGCTGGCTCCTGACAGCGATTTCCCTCTACCGGCTACCGTACAGATATAGGTTCTTCACTGCGTCTTCACCTCTCAACTCCGTCCTGCACGTCGGGCACACCGGGTTTTGCCTCAACGCCTTCGCGAGACACAGGAAGCAGAACAAGTGCCCGCACTTCGTCGTCTGCGGGTCTTCCGGCACCAAGAAGCATATGGCGCACTTGTAGTGGGCCATCATCCGGAAGTTGCGCACGGCCTCCTCCGTCCATTCCGCCGGGCATTGTGGACACTCCGTCCTCGCCTCCGCCGACGAATCCTCCGACGACGCCACTCGCTGGCTCCAGACCCTCCGCGCCGTCATAGCCGGCGTCTCGCCCTCACGTGGCCGGACCTCCACCACCGGCTGCTCGACCGGCCGTTCCTCCTCCGGTTCGTCGAAGGGACGGCTCCCCCAGAAGAAAGGATCCTCGTCGTCATCTTCCTCACTGGACTCCTCCAGAACGTTTTCCGCCAGCTGCACCGCTCTGCTTTCCGACTCCGCCTGACCGTCTTCTGCCGGCTGAACTCCGCTGACTCCCGGCTCCGCACGACCGTCCTCTACCGGCTGAACTTCGCTGGACTCCGGCTGAACTCCGCTGACGGCCGGCTCTTCCTCCGACTCCGGGGGCATGTCCCTCGGACTTGTGCAACCCGTCCGCGTATGTCCCGCTCCGCCGCATCGGAAGCAGATGCGTGCGGGACAGTTTCTCTCGAAGTGTCCGACTGCACCACAGCCCCTGCACGGCCGTCTCCTCGCACTGCACGCCGGCGAACCGGTCACGTGCCTGTTGTCCAAGCAATCCGCACACACGTTCATGACGACCTGCTCGTTGTACACCACACGTCGAACTGACTGCTGCTCTGTTCGATTCGAGCGTTCCGAATTCTTTCCCGTTGGGGGTGTCTTCTTTCCGCCAGTCTCAGTGTGCATCGCCCGATCGCTCTGCCATCGCTACCTCCTAGTTGTCCTCAACTTGAACATTTCTTCTCGACCGTCTACCTGCACATTACCGCCTGTATATTTTCCCTCAGCTTATCATTCATTAGTAATTTCCCTTATGCTTTTCCTGTCTAACCATCTACTTGGTATATTTGCCTCGGAAATGCACTGTTCGCTTCGGCCGAACTCTCGCTTCACCCCCTCTTCGACGTTCTTGAGCTTCTCTCCCTGTCAACGGTGTAGCCTCAACTTTCTGGTGATTTCGAGCCCGTTCGCTGTTCGATTTCGGCGCGCCGTCTTTTCTAGAGTCGTCACTTGATTCCTCTGTAACCGTCAGTCTTGTTTTTCTGATCTTCGGTTCCGTCTCCTCTTCTTGGATCGACATGTTCAGACCCTCGAAAGGTTGTGACAATTCGTCGACTCGAATGTCCTCTTGCTCACGTAGCTCGACATTCTTCTCCGGCTCCGATGCCTC